CATCCTTTCACCATACTTATTCAATCTGTATGCTGAGCAAATAATCCGAGAAGCTGGACTATATGAAGAAGAATGGGGCATCAAGATTGGAGGAAGACTCATTAACAACCTGTGTTATGCAGATGACACAACTTTGCTTGCTGAAAGTGAAGAGGACTTGAAACACTTACTGATGAAGATCAAAGACTACAGCCTTCATTATGGATTACCCCTCAACGTAAAGAAAACAAAAATTCTCACAACTGGACCAATAAGCAACATCCTGATAAACAGAGAAAAGACTGAAGTTGTCAAGGATTTCATTTTACTTGGATCCACAATCAACACCCATGGAAACAGCAGTCAAGAAATCATATGACACATTACATTGGGCAAATCTGCTAAAAAAGACCTCTTTAAAGTGTTAAAAAGCAAAGCTATCACCTTGAAGACTAAGGTGTGCCTGACCCAAGCCATGGTGTTTTCAATCCCCTCAATGCATATGAAAGCTGGACAATGAATACGGAAGACCGAAGAAGAATTGACATCTTTGAATTATGGTGTTGGTGAAGAATATTGAATACACCACGGACTGCCAAGAGAACAAACAAATCTGTCTTATAAGAAGTACAACCAGAATGCTCCTTAGAAGCAAGGATGGCGAGACTAACTCTCACATACTTTGGACATGTTATCAGGAGGGATCAGCCCCTAGAGAAGGACATTATGCTTAGCAAAGCAGAGGGTCAAAGAAAAAGAGGAAGCCCCTCAATGAGATGGATTGACACAGCGGCTGCAACAATGGGCTCAAGCATAACAAGGATTGTGAGGATGATGCAGGACTGGGCAGTGTTTCGTTCTGTTGTACTTAAGGTCGCTATGAGTCGGAACTGACTCAATGGCACCTAACGAGAACAACAACATAGAAAGTCTTGGAAGCCCCTGGACTTCACAGAGCCTGGAACTAGACAGTGTCGAAGAACCTCGATTTGGGTTGTTTGATTTAAATATGCTAGAAACTTCATGAAGCAGGGGTGGTTCAGTGGTAGAATTCTCGGCTTCCATGCAGGAGACCCAGGTTCAATTCCTGGCCAATGTACCTCATGCGCAGCCACCATCCATCTGTCAGTGAAGGCTTGCGTGTTGCTATAATCCTGAACAGGTTTCAGCAGAGCTTCCAGACTAAGATGGACTAGGAAGAAAGGTCCGGCGATCTACTTCCAAAAATCAGCTAATGAAAACCCTATGGATCACAATGATCCAATCTGCAATCAATCGTGGGGATGGCACAGGACTGGTTCTGTTGTGTGTGGGGTTGCCATGAGTTAGGGGCCGACTCAACAGCAGTTAACAGAGATTCTTTATTTGGTCCAATGCTCTCTCACCCCAAGACCAGGCAAGCCTTCTAAGTGAGCTGGAGGTTGCTGTATCCAGCACCACACAAGCTGCTGTAGCAGTTACATGTTTCAGAGACTCCCCTGCTTCTTCCAACATCCTCTCCTTCTATTAGGCAAAGTCCAAGATAGCTAGAGTTTGTGGACATTAGTGAACTCCTCTCTTCTTCTCTGTCCACCAGCCGGCTTCTTCCCTTTTAAGTGCAATGATCTATTTTTAATTTTGTTGCCTGTATTTTTGGTGTCATTATTAAGAACACACTGCCAAATCCAAAGTCATGAAGATTTGCTCCTATGTTTTCTTCTAAGAGTTTTATAGTTTTAGCTCTTAAAAGAGTTTTATAGTTTTAGCTCTTAAAAGAGTTTTATAGTTTTAGCTCTTAAATTTAGGTTTTTGATCCATTTTAAATTTAGGTCTTTGATCAATTTTTGTATATGGCGTAAAGTGTCCAACATGATTCTTTAGCATGTGGATATTCAGATTTCCCAGCACCATTTCTTGAAGAGAATGTTCCTTCCCCATTGAATGGTCTCGACACACTTATCAAATATCAACTGATCACAGACATAAGGGTTTATTTTCTGGCTCCTGATTCTATTCCACTGGTCTATCTTTATGCCAGCACCACATGTTTTAATTACTGTAGCTTTGCAGTAAGTTTTGAAATTGGAACATGTGAATCCTCTAACTTTGTTCTTCCTTTTCAAGATTGTTTTGGCTATTCAGGGTCTCTTGAAATTCTAAAATATAAATTTTAGGATGGGTTTTTCTATTAATGTGGTGTATTGCATTGATTGATTTTCTTATGTTGAACCACTCTTGTATTCCTGGGATAAATCCCACTGGGTCATGATGTATGATCCTTGGAATATCCCATTGGATTTGGTTTGTCAGTATTTTGTTGGAGATTTTTGCATTTATATTAATAAGAAATACTAGTCTGTGATTTCCTTTTCTGGTAGTGTCTTTGCCTGACTTCTGTATCAGGATAATGCTGGCTTCCCAGAATGAGTTAGGAAGTGTTCCTTCTTCTATTTTTGTAAGAGTTTGAGAAGGACTAGTGTTAATTCTTCTTTAAATGCTTGATAGAATTCACCAATGAAGCCATCTGGTTCTGGACTTTTTTTTGTTCAGAGGATTTTGATTACTGATTTAATCTCCTTACTTGTCATAGGTCTATTCAAATTTTCTATTTCTTCTTGAGTTAGTTTTGATAGTTTGCATGCTTCTAGAAACTTGTCCATTTTGTGCAGGTTATCCAATTGTTGATGTACAGTTGCTCAAAATAGTCTCTTATAAATCCATTTTATTTTGGTAGTAATATCCTCTCTTTCATTTCTGATTTTAGTAATTTGAGTCTTCCTTCTTTTTTTCTTAGTCAATGTAGCTAAAGGTTTGTCAATTTTGCTGATCTTTTCAATGAATCAATTTTTGGTTTGTTGATTCTCTCTGTTGCTTTTCTATTTTC